AGCCTACCCCGACGTCAATCAGACAAATCGTAGGGCTAAATCAGTCTCCTTCTACTCCGGAGACTGGCACGATCTGAGCGAGCTCTGGCGAACCCTGTCGGATCTGCGTTTCGATCTCATCCTCACCGCCGAGATAATCTACCGACCAGAACTGTACGTCAAACTACACGAGATGCTTGACGTAGCGTTGGCACACAATCCCGACTCCTCTATCCTAATGGCCAATAAGTTGAGCTACCACGGCATAGGCGGTAACGTTTACGATTTTGTAAAGTTTGTAGAGGAGAGGGGTGTCTTCTCCCTGAACATGAAGCAGCTTACTGACTCGGGTATTGCCTACGTTTGTCTATCAATGAAACGAATCTTGACTAGTTACTCTACTCTTGTTTCTCGCATTGCTGCAGGCATCCGCATCCAACACTGTCAATGTAAGGATTAGCCGCAGTTGCTGTCACATTTCGTGCTGCGACGAACTTGGCGCCAACCACCAGTTATAGAGCAGCGGTGAAGCGAAGGAGAGCGTCACCAAAAAATGAACCTGTGGGCAATTATTAGCCAGGCATTTCCTGTCTCCTATTCCTAAACCACCGGAACACCCAATTCTAGTGACGCAGAACGATTAGTTCATCGGGCCTAAGGCTAGCCTTTTCTGAAATCGTCACCCGAACATAATCGCGGTTTGTGCTGTACGAAGACTAGGCGCCGACGACCGCGCAGTTTAAGAGTTCCCAGTTGGCCTCCCGGTTAAAGATAAAAAGAAAAGCTTTGATAAATCAACTCTGTTATAAAAATACAACAAGATTCGTAAAAGTGGTTTTAAATGTGAAAGTTCAGAGGGAGTTGGACGGTGCGAGAAATCAAACGAACGCCGATAGGGAAACCCCTCGGTCCTCATCTGTCTCCACGCCCATGTCCTCCTGCAGTGGAAAAGACGTTTTGTCACGGTGAGAATACCAAAGCCACGAAGGGGTGGAGAAACTAGGCATGCAGATATCCTCGGGAAAGACGTGTACGAAATATCGCTGATCAAAAATGTTAGGGGACGTCACAGTCCCAAGCGCATACTCATAATTGTACAGCTTTATGCGCCTAGTCTTCTCTTTGAATTATAATGTTACTATGTCGACCCTTCGCGACTGCTATGTAATTATTGCGAAGCGACAAAATTTGAAAATAGGACTGACGGTAGCGTATGGCAAGTCATCGAGTTCAGAGAAAAAAATGGGAGGCAGGAACCGTGGCTTACCATCATCTGTCGCCGACTCTTTGGGTAGCCCTCGGCAACCGCATCGATTATTTCCATGGCCTACAAACGGAGAGGGGAAATAAGTACGAAGTTAACGGGGGCGATACATAAACTGTGTTGATCAGAGGGCGTTGGGACTTACCATACGTTTACGTTTCTTCCATTCAGCTACTGCGGCCTGGCATCGCTTCTCAGCCTTAAAAGTTAGAGAGTAAATCACCATAGAGATGAAAAAAAATATGGATGGGTCGAGGATTCACGATCACTCGACCTTACAGTCGTATGCAGGCAGTACAGTCCTGGAGTTAGATTGAAGAAAAACTAATAGTGAATAGTTCCTAGCCCAAAGACGATAGCGAGACTTGACGGAGATTTCAGCAAGTAGCTTTGTTTTGCTATTTAAATAAGGCTAGGGGTTACTGCATTTAGGCTGGAAATCTACATATACCACAACTGTGAGTTTTAAGTGCTGTTCGGTGCATTTGTAGTAACGGTCGTCAGTAAGACCTAGGTGTAAAATAACCATGCTTCTGGTGAATTAGCCATAGTGTTCATATGACCTGGGGAGCTGATATCAGAAACTGTAAAGTCCATTGGCCATGAAACCTTTTTAAGTCGGTTTAGAGCATTTGAGGTACACCTGCTTCGCACCCGGTTGTACTAGAAAGTCAAGTAACTTGGTAAACGGATAAGACGTGTAAAGACAGCTCGTTCAGTTGATTTGCCGATTTTCTCGTTTTCAAAAGACAAGCTTGGCCATCTTTGTAGTCCCGTCCCTCCTAGGCTGACAGACTGAGGAGAATGCTCCGTGGAGACAGTTGAGATCACAGAAGTCAGATTGAGGTAGCGTGTTTTTCACTTAGAATAAGCGGCCTGTCGGCGGATCTTCGAACGTAGGGCAGTGTGGACAATAGTTCTGGCAGGTTAAACTACCACGTAAACAAGCTATGATCATCAGGACACGCAAAGAAATGCAAGGCCCTAATAGAATTATTGGAATTTCCAAGCACGACTTTTACGGTTGAAACTTATTCATTGAAAACGTATGTGGGCATGTCAAATTTAATTTCGTCATTAAGGACGAGAGAAATGTCAGATACATAGAAAGTGACCAAATTTATTTGCTGATAAAATATCAAGTGAGAATATAAAAGAAATGCCAACAAAGACAACTCAGAGTTGAGGGGAAAAATCTAACTTGTTTGTCAGTTATGCTCCAACTTTAAGGCCCCCAGTCCGCGCGAGCCCATAGCGTATACGTGTGTGGCCATTTTGTCCAATCCCGCCAACGGCTGCCTAAAAAGCTCGGATAGTCGACGTATTTATGGTGAAGAGAACGAAAGCGAAAATAAACAACCCTAGCTGATCCACTCATTCCTCAATATAACCAACCGGATGCGCCGGTATTTATAACTTGGTGCCAAGAGTCGTGAATTGAAAACTTGGCGAATAACGGGATAACTCGGTGACTCTGAGGACTGAAAGTCACGTCGAAATGGTTCATTCTTAATGCGGCATTCTTGCGCATAGGATATCTGAGCCCTTACAGAAACTTGGTACACGTGGTGCTAAAGGGCCGTGTGTGACATGCATAGACTGGTCATTTAGCTTCGTAAATATTCACACCTAACTCTAGTCCTCCTGCTATTGTAGCAAAACGAAGAGAGAGGTAGGCGCCGCGCAAGTCATTGAGGTCGCATCCACTCATTGAGAAACGCTGCGGATGTTGTCATCGGTGCGCCAAATGCATGCTCTCAACTAGATATGACAAGGCCGTTTTGACTAATATAACCGTTTGTGATACATCTGTGATTATTTTGATGCATTCGATAACTATTAAATAGCCGAATGCTGTTATTGAAATATTACGTATGTAAGGAGTACTTATCGCATTCAAATGTTCCATTTTGTGTTTGGATGCGTCACACATTATCTGCCTGGAAGTTGGATCTATACCAAAAGCGTGGGCACAACGGTTGGCCAAGCATGGAATCCCGCTTACGCACGTAACGCACATGTTCGTCTCAACACTCAGTAACTGTTAATCATTTCAGACCCCACTTCGATCAGATTTATTATAAGGCCACATCAAGCAGCCAGTGTAATAGCAACCCCAGTAGAGAGGACCGAATTGACTTGCCAGTCAATAGTCCGCCAGAATTCAAAATGCACTTCATTGTCATAGCTGAAATGCTCATTAAATTGTACAAATGTCGAGTTAGATCGAACACAGTGGCTGAAATGGCAAAGTCCACGCAGTGTTTACCTCCCCGTCACGGTTTTGAGCAAAAGTGTCACTCCTTTTGGATGGTCAAATGCCGTTATATATGCGTGTTAAGTCGATTAATAAGGACATTGGTAAATTGATCATTTTCATTGAGCAAAGACAGTTTTAGACGGTTTCAAGAATCTTCATGAGAGGCCGGGTTACACTGATGGTGAATCTTAGTTGGGAATATGTGAAGCAATTCAAGATCTACGTTACATGGTCACTGATGTTTAGTGTATACTAGGTATTAAATGGCTATGGAACTCACCTTGGCAAAATCCTCAGGGGATATTTGCACCTCCTGTGAATCCATAGAGGCAATCGATTTTTGTACCGACTTAATCTGAAACAAATAAGAGGCATAGTATTAAAGATGTGGAGTAGATGAAATAAAAAGAAGAAACGAGACAAACCTCCGCCTCTATTTCCGCATTCTTTTGCCGAGCCTCGTCGATTGAGAGACTGGATTCGACCAGTTTCAGTTCTATAAAGGTTAGAGAAAATCGTAAGCAGTGTATGTACCGGATTCTGCGGACTTTATGCGTTCTTGTAATTCTTTCAAGGCGTTCGTCAGCTCTTCAATTTGTCCATCCATGGCCATTAGTTCATTGTCATTGGGTCGAGGAAGAGTTGACTGTGGTATAACAAATACCTTCTGCTTGCCGTTCAGTTTTTCATACAAAGCATCTTCATTTACCAAATCGTCGACAGCCTTGGATATTGCCTGGGAAGCAATAGGGATGAAAGGCAAGAACGGACAGCTTACTGCTTTTCCATGTGTGTTTTGTAATGCCGCCAAGATGTCATTGAGACTGTATGGCCGATTGTGACGAGTCATGAATCCGAGGACGTCCGCTAAATATAGTTAGTCTGGGTAAAAGGTGGTACTTTTTGCATTCGCAGAAGCCATTTCGGAAGAGTGTCACCTGTAACGAAAAGAAGAATAAATGCAAGGGGGAATTGTCAGGACAGGAAGTTCAAGGTCGACGACAAAGATATGGATTAAGTCAATAGGCTGTCCTAAAAGCGAACTTCTTGTATTGGCCTTTTATAGCATACTTCAGCAAGATCTACTAGTTCCTTTTAGTGTGAAATAAAGGGGATTTCAAAGCAGTTAAAACCTTGACATAGTGACATACGTAAACCACCACTAGAGGATAGTATGTAATGTGAGGATGCTCATTGTAATTATGAATGAAGTTGATGAATAAGCCGAACTGTAGGTAAGAGGTCCTCAAAAGTCCGGCTTGTCTAGCTAGAAGGCAGGCTACACCGAAAGGACTCGACGCCGATACCATATATGAAACCAACAACCAAGTAGTGGTGGAACTACCACTTACCTAGCTAAGCGGTAGATGATAGCATGAATCTAAAGATAGCAATAACAGCAGGATTTATTGGATCCGTGGCATTTCGAGAGAGCTCTTCAGTTGCTGCCTCTCA